CATTTTATAATTTACATTATAAAACATACATTTTATGAGGGAAAGTAATCGGAAAAAGTCCTAAAGTAGAAAAATAAGAAAAAAGAAGATTTTTAAAATAAAGAAATTTTTTTCCATTATCTCCATAAAAAAATAGATCTAAAGTAAAAAAGTATGATTCCATGGCTTAACAACTTTTTATCATTTTAATTGAATAAAATAATCATAGAATGGAGGAGAATGATATAACCTCTCTTCAAGATCTAGGTTCAATAAATACTTTGAAGTGTAAGTTTTAGGGACTCTAATGCAAAGATGGCAATGCATGATTCCTTTGCCTCGAAATTTTTGTATAATTGTCATATTTCCTTTATGCTTTCCTGTTGCGCAATTCACTTTTAAAGAGAATCCATAATTGAAAATTTTAAAATGATAAACATTGCTATATAATTCATTCTTTTTCAAACAAAGCTTTTAAGGATGCTGTTGGGAATTGGACATTGTAATCTTTCATCTACGATCCATAACGGGTCAATTCTTAATTTTACTCTGAGAAACGATGACAAAGATAATTTCTGTTTAATTCTGAAAACACAATCCCTTTAAGAATGTTTTGATTAATTATCCCATTATTCACTAGACTTGGCACAACCCTGCTGGAAAACCTATTCATAGAATAATAAAGAACCAATAATAAATATACAGGATTAATATTAAAAAGAATCAATAATAAATATACAGGGTGATAAAAAGAGCTTACTTCTTTAACTGTAACAACTATCATTTTATCAACAGCTTAGTTAAAAACTAGCCACATTTGTATAATTTACATTGTACATACTCAATGTAAATCGTAATTGTTACGTCAAAAGTAAATTTCCTTTTTAGATGGAAATCTTAAATGTTTTCACTTATAAATTCAATTGTTTTTGCTTTGTAGGAAGTTCAGTAATTTCAAGTGATCCACCATTCACAGAGTTGCACTGGCACATCATCGATTCACAAAGGTCCCGGAAATTCGTTGTCTGATATCAAGATTTAACTTATTTATATCGATGTATTTCTCTTTGAAAACTAATCATTTTTAAATGAGGTTTCTCTACAAAATTGACTTGCGCTTGCGCATATTTTCAGCAAAAAAAGATTGAGTAATTGTCAGAATTGAAGAATTTTAAGCTAGAAATATAACAATATCCTCAAGATAAATAAAATCATTAGAAATTACCTCAACAGTCTCCTAATGTGTGGAAACAGAACAGTGTTATGATTCTATAGATATATAAATACATGCATGGTGCAGATATATATATATATATGCATGGTGCAGATATATATATATATATATGCATGGTGCAGATATATATATATATTGATTTATGGTCTCCCCCCGCGCCGAGAGAGCATAGATATATATTATATATATGCACCATGCATATATATATATTTCTGCACCATGCATATATATATATATATCTGCACCCTGCATATATATATATCTGCATCATGCATATACATATATATATCTGCACCATGCATATATATATGCACGATGCATATATATATATGCACAATGCATATATATATATATATATATATCTGCACCATGAATATATATATATATATATATCTGCACCATGTATATATATATATATATATATATATATTGCAGGCATAGAGATTAAGAATGATGGCCTATAACTGCTTCACAATTCCATTTAGAGACTTTTGGCAATTTGCTATATAAACTTGGCTTTTGTAGAATAATTTTAGATTTTTGGGCGGCAACATTTTTAAATTAGAAAAATCCGTTTACCTTTGAAGAGTTACACATAGATAGACAGATACAATTCATAAAAAGATTAAAAAAACAGAAGAATGTAAATGTGAATGAGAAAAGGAAAACATGCAGCAAAAAAATAAAAGAATATTGAAAACCAGTGTAAAAGCTAAACAGGCTTTTTTTGCCCTAGCACTCTAATTTTTGACACTATCACATTGACACTATGCAGCACAGCTTTCTTAGAATTCTTGGTTTTTACATGTAATAAAGTATTTTTAAATTTTTTTCTACTTAGTGATATAAGAATTCATTTAAGATTAATGTTGTTTATTGATTGTCAGGATTTGTAACTTAAATTGACTCATAAAAGTTGTTAATACGATTTATATTTTACAATAAAACATTTCTTATACGCAGTAAGGAGGTTATTTCGGAATTCATTTCTTAATTGAACTTTGTTTATTTTGTTTTAATCTTTGGTTTATGCAATACCTTTTCTGAAAAATTTATTTAGATTCAGATTATTTGTCAATGTCAAATTTTTGATTATCGTAATCTTATAAAAATTAAAATAAAAGTATCGCTTAAATCAAATATTTTAAAATATCAAATAAAATTACGATTAAAATTTATTCTCTAAATGTTTTTAATTTTGCGTAAAAAATGTTTTAAGTTTTATAAACCATTTTACTAGTAATCATTTGTCACTATTTATGATATTTGATTAATACTTCTGATCTTTGATAAACTTGTTATGCTAGTATCTTGAAAAGAAATGAAAAAGTTCTATATTACATGTGAAAACCTGGAGTCATTGGAGCTGTGCTGTATAGCAAAGGCTTGTTTACTGCATAGCGAAGGCACAGCGCGCGGAGGTTCATTGGGTCCAGGGGTTCTCTCCCTCCCGTAGCCTTCATACCAATACAGAATATGCTGACAATATTATTAAAGCAAATTATCAACTTTCTAAAGGTTTAAAACTGATGATAAAAACTTTTGACTTAAGTTTTCATTTAACCAATAACAGAAAACATATCTAACTGGCAGTGATTTGTGAAATCTATTTTATAAAAGAATTGAGTTTTTCTCACAAGTTCAAAGTCTGTAATCCCTATCTTCACGACCTGAGGGTGTAAACCTTTAATATTTCAAACTATTTGAACTAACAGAACTTCAAGTTTGAAATATCAAAATTCTCAAACAACTATTTGAACTAACAGAACTTCAAGTTTGAAATATCAAAATTCTCAAACAGCAAAGATATTGGGATTAGAAAAGCAGAGTTTTTGTCAAAAACTCAAATTCTAACAATCTAATTCATGTAAATATAACCACTTTTAATCTTTTTTTAAGTTTTCAAATACTTTTTCTTCATACTTTCATTTGAAATAATCTTTTGTGAATTGTTTATAAATGATCATAATTCATAATTCCTCTAATTGGTAATTTGTTAATTGCAATTAATAATTTTGAATAATTAGTTCACTTATAAAACATCAATTGATGGTAAAATTATAATTATTAATATATAATTATAATATATATAATTATTATAATTGTCTTTCTTTTCGTGTGTTTTTTTATTATTTAGCCTTGAATAGGATAAGAGCATTAAAAACTACCAACGGAGTCTTTGCCGCAAAGTCTGATTTTCTAATTCCTAAAACTTTGCAGCCTAATGTCAAAGACCTTAAATATTTTAGACTATGGATACTGCTAGATTAATTAATCTTTAAGTTTGAAATATCAAAAATTTGCAATATCAGGATTGTAAAGATATATGAGATCTGAGATTAAATATTAGGATTGTAAAGATATATGAGATCTGAGATTAAATATCAGGATTGTAAAGATATATGAAATCTGAGATTAAATATCAGGATTGTAAAGATATATGAGATCTGAGATTAAATATCAGGATTGTAAAGATATATGAGATCTGAGATTAAATATCAGGATTGTAAAGAAATATGAGATCTGAGATTAAATTTGAGGTTGTGGCTAAGACTCAGTTCCCTTAGAAAGGAAGCATATAAAATAATAAAAAATTTAAAATCTCTTTTTTTAAGTTTAACAAAGTTTTTTTATACTATTTTTTTGAGTAGTTTGATAAAAGAAATCCAGGAAAATAGGCCCTTTTCCTGGTTTCGAATCTCATCTCTAATATTTCCCCCATGAAGTCATGACACCCTTTCTGGCACAATAATTTAGGTCAAGCATGAGACAGGAGATAATATAGGAAAAAAGGGGTTTTGGCAAACTAGAATTTGGTTCACTTTCTCTAGTAATTTATTCAAGTTTATTTTTAAGATCTAAATATTTATTCTGCGAATAAAACTTAAAGATTATAATCACTGGTATTTAGACAACTCTTAAAGGGACAGACCAGCTTTGAAAGGTAGTTAAACTGAAAATCCTAAAGAATTTTTCCACAACACTGCATACTCACTTTAACTACCTTACATAGCCGGTCTGTTCCTTTTAAGTTGGGATCATCTAATTTATAGACAGCGTAGAATTTAACGTGTCGTAACGCCCGGCCTTTTGTTTTACTCCTAACCAACTTACTTGGCATTTTTTTAGGCATAAATATATTTTAACAATTCAACACGCTAGTTTCGAGATTTAGTTAAAAAGGAGTAATGGGCAAAATACTGCTCGATTTTTGCACGAAAGCGTGCAAATATTGGTTTGCAGTGCAATGATCGCAGCAGAGATTATCACTCATTAGCATAAGATTTCAATTTCTAAGATTACATTGTCCAAGTTATTTAACAACCTTTTTCATCCATACCTTTTACCCATCTGATATAATAGCTACACAAAATAAAGGAGTTTTATCATCTTTTTTCATTGCTACGATAAAAAGCTTGCTTACAAAGGAAGTGAACGCTCGCCACAAATTCTAATTTTCTATTCCCAGAGATTTGCAACTTCTTGCAGTAAATATTTGGTATTTTAAAATTAGAATTCCGTTTGATAAGATAGTCTTTAAAGTTTAAAATATCATAGGTTTACACTATCAGGCTGCAAAGATAAGTGGATTCCAAAATTTGAGTTTTTGGCAAGGATTCAGTTTTTCAATGTAATGTAATGTAATTATAATTTTAGAGAAATATTAAGCATATATCTCGATAAAATAGCGTTAAAAACAACTGATTTAAATAAGTAGACTTATATATTTTTTGACTTCAGGTTTAAAAGTTTTTGAATACTTGATATACATTCAAAACTTCATTTTAACACTTTTTTCATACATTTCAATTTTATTTCAGAATTTCAGAATGCACTGCTCAAATTGGGGGCTGAACTAAATTCAACACTAAAAACAGGTTATAAAGACTTTTTTTACGTACCCTGCACATATACTGTATACTGTACAGTGTACATTGACTGGACAGTGGGCATATTAAATCATAGACAAAGACAGTGCAGTGTGCATACTGCACAAAGACTTTTTTATTGTATTGGACATAGACTTTCATATTGTATTGGACATCAACTGTACAGAGTACACAGAATTTTATGGGCTGTACTGTACAATATTTGGACATTGAACAAAGACTGTCCATAGATTTTATGTAGACTGTATAAACTGATGACTGAAATCAGTAGACAGTGGACTGTAGTCTGTATACTGTAGACTGAAGACTGTAGACTGTAGACTGTAGACTGTAGACTGTAGACTGTAGACTGTAGACTGCAGACTGTAGACTGTAGACCGTAGAATATAGGATGTAGACTGTAGACTGTAGACTTTAAATTGTAGGCTGTAAACTTTAAACTGTAGACTGTAGACTGTAGACTGTAGACTTGACTGTATACTGTAGACTGGAGACTGTATACTGTAGACTGTAAACTTTAAACTGTAGACTGTAGACTGTATAAACTGTTGATTGAAGACTGTAGACTGTAGACTGTATAAACTGTTGATTGAAGACTGTAGACTGTAGACTGTAGACTGGTAGACTGTAGACAGTAGACTGTAGACTGTAAATTGTAGACTGTAGACTGCTGTATAGGATGTGAGGAAGATATGAGCTGGTGTTCTTAATACATCTTAGCTTTGGACAGATCTTGCCTTTTCTTGAACATTGTCCAAAAAAGGACAATTAGCTCACAAATACAAATAACCAAGTATCTAGTAAAGAAAATTACATAAAAGCCACATTAACAAAACAAGAAATCTGTGAAAAATCTCTAAAAAATCCGCGAAATGATAACGGAAGATGATACAGCAGAGTTCAAAATATCATGGGAGACTGGCCCACTAGTTTCCAGGCCAGGATTCGGCTTTTATCCAGACTCTGTATGGAATTGGTTGGATAAAACTACGGAGGTAATTACATTAAAAAATGTTGTTAAATAGAAATATAAAAAAGTACTTCACAAGACAAATTAGAATAAAATTAAAACTGAGAAAATTCAGGACTTAAATCTTCTCGAATACCAAAAGCATGAGAATTAAAAGAGTGGCATAGGTTGTTTTAATTAATCAACTTTAAAACAGATTTAACTTAGAAGTTTTGTGAGAAGCTTAAATAATTTTAGAATAAAAATGCTTTTTAGTAACTAATATTAATTATTTCAGTACTTTTTAGAAACGAAGGTAACAATTAGTAAGTCTTTTGGTTTAAAGCTAAAAAAAAAAAGTTTCAATTTTTTCACCTAAAAATTTAGGCTTTTTACATCTAGTTGTAGTGTAAAGCAGGATATCACTTTGTGCTAATTTGACTTTTTTCTTGTTGTGGGAGTGGTTCACCAAGCTTTATGCTTTCACTTTCACTTTACAAATTAAATACTTTTTTTCTACTAAAACCTTTTTTAAAGATCAAATAAAAAACATACATCCAGAGCTGGGAACTTTAGAATGGATAAACTTTAATCCTGACTTCTTGATCCGAATATCCACTGTGGAAACTTTTCATTTTAGTCCTTCATCCACTCTTTTTCTCTCTCCTTGGATATCCGTAAATTGTTTTCTCCAATGAGAATATTCTTGTTCTCTCATTGGTTGCCCGCTTTTCTCTGATTGGCTGCTACACTTTCTCAGATGATTAAATATTAATTTGAATTTTATCGTTTTTCATACACTTTTAAGATAATCTTGCAAGATTATGTTAATCTTGAGATTATCAAAAAGAGAGGATCAAGCATTAATCCCGATATCCACCATTCTAAAGTTTTCAGCTCAGAGGCCAACACTTTTGTATCCAACAGCGCTAATCTACAATTCTTTAGCACGATATCCACAGTGTTAACTTTTTATTTGATCCTTGATTCTTCAATTTCAGTCACATTATGGGATATCCGAGATAAATTAATATTAATCCAAAGGACTGCAAACTCTTTAATCCAAGGATTCGCCACTCAAACGTTTTTATCTCAACTGTTCCAAAATATTTGCTGAAACAAAACTAATCATAATTTTTTTATTATTCCGATTTATTTTCAAGGTTTTGGGACACCTTGGATATCCATTTATTTTGCAAAATTCAATTTATCATTTTTATCTAAAAAAAATACATTTTTACTGAACAGGCTGAATTAACAAACTTAAAAAAAATTCTAAAATGAATCAAAATTATAGTTTTTAAGAATGCATCTGGGTGAGATGAAAATAAACTTTATAACTTTTTGCCAAATCATTTTTCACAGACGCAAAATTTGCGCAGAATTTTGAGCAGTGCTTTACACTATTCTAAATCAATGTCCCCAACAAAAGAGTGAATCTCTGAAGTATATAAAAATCGGCAAGAACACTTGTCCCGAGATTCACTCTTTCATTTCCTTTATTAACTAAATAATAAAAAATGTAAATATAAACTCTTTTTTATGTAACAGCTCTTGTATATTGCAGTTCAATCGTAGGTATAGGTATTCACATACAGTATAACCAATCAAAGATAACACTATTTTGACGATTTTAATTTTTCAAGTTTAATTTCGATTTTCTAGGTTTAAACAAAAATTGTGGCAAATTGATGTTGTAAGTATGAAAGGTTGATTTTAGAAAAAAATACTTTGTTTTATCGTTTGTGGGTAACACTATATGAATAGCATCTGGCTTTATTTGGGGTTGGATGCAAAAATTATCCTAAAAATTCATCACTTATGAGAAGGTAGACACCTATAAATCTTTTTTTGTTTTTGAGCTGAATAAATTGAAACTAAGCAGTCACACCTAAATGACAGGTTTCTGTTGCCTGCATACATTGAAAGATCCTCCATTTATTATAACTTTGCTTTAGATAATAATCTTTAGGAATTCTAAAAGTTAACAGCCTAGCTTTTCAGCTTTTTATTGTAATAATGCTCTTAATCACAAATCCAGTGCAAGTCTTTAGAAAATGATGTTTTAGAATTTTTAAAGTTAAAGGGACTGTATGTGTTTATTTAAGTGACCCTCCATGCAAAGATGACAATGCCCGATTTACAACAGTACCCCTAAAGCTTTGTTCGTTCAAGTATGAATTTGATATTAATGCTTTTATTTTTGAAATCTAACTATTTTCAATTGTTCGGTTTAAACCTAGAAAAACGGCAATATCTTCCATGATATTGATTAGATAAAGGTTTCAAGGGTACCGAATGATCTGTATATGGAGGATCACTTTAAATAAAGCATGTAGTCCCTTTTATTGCAATATTTTTCTTAATTCTTAAGGGAATGCTAGATCTTGAATCTTGATACAAAATCCGTCAACAAGTAAATAAGATTTTAAACATTTAATGCTTAGTTAAACACAAAATAAAGATTAGTAGGTTTCCTTTTTGATGTGTTTAAAGGGACTGTACAAAATTAAAGGGGGTATAGACTGAAAGCTGAGAATCTCAGGAGTTGAACGATACATATAAAACATCTATCAGATGTTCCTGTCTCGAGAAATTGACATAAAACTGTGTCAAAATTATATCAAAACTTTATATGTAAGATATATGTCCGTATCACGTGACCAGAACTCCCTCTGATGGCAGTGCAGTATACTGGTCACGTGATACAGAAGGAGACACATGACAATAATAATGCAATGCTATTGGTTCTGGTGACATGTTCTGGATGTACAAATAATATTATCAATCATATCTATTAAAAATGAAAAATTAGTAAATTCAAATAATTATAGGAGCAAACCTAATTTCAGGCTCCTCTCTGTGATATCGTCATTTTCAGATTGATTGCGTATTTGTTGAATATGATCTGTTTAATACTACAAATCTACAACATCTTACATATAGACGTGTTGGTATAATTTTTATACAGTTTTATATCAATTTCTGGAGACAGGAACATCAGATAAAACTCTTATAGGTCTCAATCAACTCCCGTGATTCTCACGTTTCCGCTTATATCCCCTATCATTTTCCCCCTACAGTCCCTTTAAGCAAAACATTAATGGATAAAGTGCTCTTTTTTCCAAGGATCCGCTTTTAGAGTTTTTTCGGCATTAAATATTTAATTCATATTTTTACTTTTATCGAGTTTTTAAAGTTTATATGTGTCCTATGTATAACGCAGAGAATACTTGATGGTTTTTTTCCCAAAATTTCTGTATATTTGAATCCAAAGGATTTATTTTGTATTCAGATATTCTTTGTCAAAACTTGAAAAGGTTGAAAAAGCATAAAACTTACAGCTTTTAATTGTAGAGACTGTAAGGTCTAATTTCAAACGACTTTCATTTTCAAGAGGGAACTTTTCAATACACAATCACAATGCTAACCTTAATTTTTTTTATCCAGAGAAATTGAGTTTTTGCCACAAACTAAAATTTTCTAATTCCTATATCTTTTCAACCATATGGTATAAACTTAGACCATTTGGATCTAACAGAAGTCATAGTTTGATATATCAAAGGTCTACGACATCGGGTTGCAAAAAATAGGGGGAAACAGTTAGAGTTTGTGGCAAAAACTCATTTCCTTTGTTGTTTCTTTCTTTGTAGTTTCTCTTTAAATGTGATGGAGGGAATTGTCAAACTGTTACTCGTTGAAATGAGGTTCACAAGAAAATATGTCAACAATCTCTTTAAGCTTATCTTATTTGATGCTAATAAAACACTAAATATAGGACAAATTTACGTGAAAAAACAATATTTTGCTTAACATTTTTTTTTCTTTTGGGGTCAAAAATCGTTCTCTAGGAATATGCCTTCTTTTGAATTTTGGAAACCTTGTTCATTCCCCTCTCACCTTTTGTATAAAATTTGATAAACAGCTGTGTAAATAAATAATATTTCTCGCAAACCATATTAGGATAAAGATCAGTAAAAAGGAAAGTTCACTTTATGGCACGTTGTGAGTTGAAACAATACTGGTTTAGGAGTTAACTATTTAAAGGGACAGACCGGCTATGTAAGGTAGTTAAACTGAGTATGCAGTGTTGTGGACAAATTCATTTGAGACGTATAACACGTTTACACGATGTATAATTACTGAGTGTGAGTGCAAAGTCACCGTTCTAAATCTTGCATTTTGGTGGGTACGTTTACAGAATCGTTTTTTTATTATTAAAAAATAACGATAATCAGAGATTATAGACACAAATAATTAAATAAGATCACTTATTTTCGATGATAAGATTAATTTTTATTTTCTTAACCTGTTCCTAAACAACTGATTAGTTTACTGTAGTTTTTTGTTTACATTGTTTACAAAAAAAAATTCCGAAAACTTATCCACCCAAAAATACGTTTTTGAACGTCGACTTTGCCCAAAAAGTTAGGATTTAAAGATCTTTAAAAAGTTTATGTGTCTCAAATGCATCCAAAAGAATTTGTCCACAACACTGCATAATCAGTTTAACTACCTTACATAGCCGGTCACTCCCTTTAATTATAACTCACATTTGGACATTAGGATAGTGGTAGAAAATATAGTATTGCATTCAATATTTTAATTACAATGAAAGATAAACAAGAGCAATTCCGATTAATTATATTTAATATTCATTTATTTATTATTTCATTGATTTAAATTGAGTCTTTGCCTGAACTCTGATTTTCTAATCCTTATATCTCTGCAGCCTTTAGATATTTCAAACTATGAATACTGAGTCTAAAACTAAAGAACGAAAAGTTTTGACTTAAATTTAAGTTCATGGTTAAATGCCACTTCTGACTTAATTTAAACCTGAACTTTAAGCGTGAGGTTAAATATTTAACCCTGTGGTTAAATATTTAACTCTCCGAAATCGACGAGTTAAAATTTAAACACAGGGTTAAAATCTTGAAATCCCGCAATCCCATATTTGTCTATCATCATTCAGTGCTAAGCGGCATTCAACTAATTACGATATATTTAAAAGTAAAAACCTTGATTTAATAAAATTTCACGTTTTAGATTAATTAATGTTTGCACGCAAACCCAAAATATGGTTGTAACTGGAAATATGTTTTGTTTTCCGTCACGTAAATCATTTAAATTTAAAAAAACAGCTGATTACCGAATACCGATACTTACGTAATAATTCTTTAAATCCTTTTCTCTGATTAATTCAGATTTTTCCCGGGAAATTCAAATTTAAATTTGAGAAAGTTTAATATTTAAGTAGCTATTCATTATTTTACAGAACTTTTAACCTCGAACTTAAAATTCGCGCATTCTTTAGTTTTAGACTCAGAGTCTAATAATATAATAATCTAAGTTTGAAATTTACACCATGAGGTTTTCAAATGTGGGGATGAGAAATTTAGACTTTATGGCAGAGACTCAATTCATTGATCATAATCATTTGACATGGAATTAGTATGGTTGTATATATATAGTTTTCTTAGTTTAGAATGGAATATTTTATAGAACAAATGTTAGAATAGATTTCATAAAACCATCCAGCAGATCAAAGACATATTGCTGCAAACTGCGCAATGCAGCCTACAAAGTGCAGAAAAACAAAACTATAAATTAGATCATGATTTTTATTTATTAAAGAGACACTGACTTGTCTTCATTTAAACTAAATCCGATATTTGAAAAATAAAAACGATCCTTACTTGAGCAGAGTAAAAGCAAGTACTTAACACCAGAAACTCTCATACCATATTTTACGTAAAAATGTCCTACAGTGTCTTTGAGGAATATACACAAAACTCTGAATACTAGAGATGGGCATTGTTTTTGTCAAACGATCAAAATTTTTCGTGAAAAAAGATGTCGCACAGAAAAAAAGGACGATGGACAAACTATTTGGATTGTTCAGAGAACAAAAACTATCGCTTATTAAAACAAACAAAAACCGAACCATTTAAAATCGTGCGAACAAACTTGAAAACACTATCGTCTTTTTGCTAAAAAAATTAATTTTCCAGTAGGATTTGAAAAAACAATAGTATATTAACTGAAAGGACAAATTTTGGAACAAACTTTTTGAACAATGATTGTTTTAACTGAACAATCAATTTGACTGAAGCAACGATTTTACAAAACGATCATTCAGCGAGAAGAAAACAAAATATCTAAACAATTGTTCAGATAGAAACAACAAAATATCAGGAAAACGAACGATAATTTGAGAATAAACAAAAACAATTTTTTTAACCATTGACAAAAAGAATGAAGGGTCGTTAGCGAACGATGAACAAAAAATAAATAAAGGCAAACGCGCCCATCTCTAATAATACAACTTGGGTTGTTTTCATTTCTTACAAAAATGTCAGTCCACAAGCTTCTTTCAGTTGTAGACTTGTTTTTAGATAAACAGATATGATTGATTTTACGATTCAAAGTGATCATTAATAACAATTTAGCTTGGACAATTTTTGTAATATCAAAACTCATGGAATTGATTCCGTGTTTATCATTGGCTGATTTATTATATTGTTTAACCAATAAGAAGCCATCAGGTTCCAATCAAAGAACCTGGCGAAAATAAAGATCAAGGGTACCGAAGTTTGAGCTTTTATGATCTCAGCTCTCTGTGCCCGACATAAACTCAAGCCACGTACACTAGTCTTGGCACCTGTTTGGTTCTGATTCGACCATTGAGACTTCTTCAAAAACATATCTCTGGATTTGCAGACCGATTATATCTGATAAGGCGGAGATTTGCAGATGTAAATTTCAAACACTGAAATTTTACAAATGTGCATTATTTCAGAGTGTTTATTTTAAAAATCTAGCCATTTATGATACAACAGATAATTCCTGAGATTTTAAATGTAAAAATATAATAGTTTTCACGAAAATCTCTTGCTTAACTTAGAACCGAGTATAAGCATAGATAAGACCAACTAAATTGGTTTTATCTAATATGTAAATAGTCTAGAGCTAAAACTCCTTACTTTGACATAACTGGCCTCTAGAGATGGGGTTTAATCTGGTTTAATCTGCAAAATCCTCGTTATGGTGTATTTTCTTTGTCTAAAAGGAGACAATTATAATGGACAAGATGCATGGTTTACTGCATTAAGCTGGAGAATCAAGATAAAGCTAAATATAAGATAATAAAAAATGTTTGTTTACATGTTCACCCCTGCAGTACACCTGAGTGCTAAATGGTTGTTTTGATTTCTATTTTTGGAGGGTAAAGGTATACGCCATTGTGGGTTTAATTTCTTTTTCATGAAATATTTAGTAAAAGTTAGAATTTTAATTTCTAGTAAATTTAATATCCCCCCCTTCAGAAATATTGTGTACGTTTCAAAGTACACTAATGTACATTGTACAGAACACTTAACATTACACTGTACAGAACACTGTACACTTTAACAAACAATAATGGTTTCTAAAATCTTTAACCCACAGTGATGTGATGAATATTTAAACTTGCTGCACAATTGTACAGGATTTTTAGTTTTCCACTATTTAACCTGCATGAACAGGTGAAGGCGCATGTACCACATGTACAGTAATATGTTTGTATTTACAGGATCGAGGTGAAGAACTAGGTTTGGATCTTAGTAACTTCTCAATTGCTCGGAAAGATGAATTTAGGGTAAAAATACATTTCTGATAGATTTTGTACTTTCAGATATCTTTCGGTATATTATTCTTAAAGTTCCCAATTTTAAGGACTGTGAAAATATTCTGATTGTGAGATTTCACAGATTAAATATTAACTTTTTCAATGATTTTTAGACAAACTTTGATTCTTTGAACAGCGTAAACAGATTTTACAATTTCTAAACAAACTTCAAGTTTATGTTTTACCTCAAACATATTGTTGAATAAAACTGCAAAGGTGTCTAATATGCACACCAGCACACACATTACGCCATTTTATTTTCTCGAAAAGCTGACAACAACATTTCTTTAATTATTTTTTACAACTAAAATGTATTTTTCGTAATACTGAATTATTTCTTTTTTCTCCATTCAAGTTTTTTTCTCATCATGAAAGCAGTCACCGAATTCTTTTATTTTCTCCATCAAATTAGTAAACTGTTCTTTAAATTACTTCATAAAAGAAGCCCTAAATTCTTTTTTTTCTCCGCGAAAAAAGTAAAAAAAAAATATTTTTATTTTCTCCATGAAAGAAGTCAGCAAAGTTCTTTATATTTACTCCATTCATTTAAAATCCCTGAAATGAAAGAACAGAGACAAAAAAATCGTCGTCAAAAGTACATCGGGTACTTTTAAAGGAAACTTGAAAATAAAACATTATAGTTACATTAAACTTATAATAGGAGTCTAGGCAGCTCTGGGTTATCCTAATTTTCAGATTTGTTCCGTATTTGCTTAATATGATGTGTTTAAGCTTTAATTCAAATACCATATCACGTATATTAGTGTTTTTGTGTAACTCGGACTCGCGATCAACTCCTACAATTTCTAGGCTTTAGCCTATGCCCACTTTTATTTTACCTACACAAAAGAAGTCACAAAAATGTGTTTTTATTTCTCCATGAAATTAGCCCTTGAATTCTTTTATTTTCTCCTGAAATATGCCCTTGAATTCTTTTATTTTCACCATTAAAAGAGTCAGACAGGCTCTTTTTATTTTGTCCATTAAACTTGTGGAAAACTGATAATGGAAAGGATAAAGGAAACTTAATTAATGCCGAGGTTTCTTGTAGCTTTCATTAATTCTTGTCTTTTATCCTCCTTTCCTAGTTCTGAAACAAGCATAAATCTTACTCAATACTCTTTAACCTTGACAAGGTTTGAGATTTATTATTTTATTTCTTTAAATCTAAACATAGCTCTGCATTTTTGTGTTTTAACAATTCTACTTTTTAAAGCTTAGGTTTTAGTCTGTCTTGGATATGATATAATTTTAGTTGTATACGGTGGTAGCCAGATCCTTAATTTGGGACCAATATTGACGATTTTGGACATTTTATTTATCTACCAAATGTTTCTAATCGAATGGTGTTAGAGTGAAGAGTAAGAAACAGTTATTTTGCTTTAGAAGAATTTCAAAAATTAGATCTTTAATAAAATTTGCTAGAAGAATAATGAAAGGCTCGACTTGTGTACACTATTCGATCAGTACTTTTTTAGTAGATATCAAAAATTTTCAAAATCCTCATAAATGGTCCAAAAGGAATTGAGTTTTTGCAACAAACTCTAATTTTTTAATCTCTATATCTGCACAACCTGATTTAGTGGACCTTTGATATTTCAAACGAAAAATTTTGTTAGATCAAGAAGTGTTTGAAGTATCAAAGGTTTAAACTATCGAATTAGAACGATTTAGGAAATAGAAAATCAGGGGTTGTTTCAAAAACTCAATTTCTTTCGAGGCTCTAGCTACCATGAGTTTTTGGGACACCCTTTACATTGTACATAATTGTATTTTTAGTGTTCTGTATTGTCTGAGTACTGGGTGCTTCTGTTCCCCCAGCTGGAGGATGCAGATGTACCGCCCTGTTTCCCGTACTGGGACGGAGCATCATGTATTCCACCTACACTTGAAGGATCAAACCAAACCAAATCATCGGTTGCAAAAATAATGCTGGCACTAATTTGTAATTATAATAAATCAAAAATGGCACAAAAATCATAGAAAACATTAAAAGTAAAATCAAACAGCAGCAATAGCTACATTATTTTTTTTTCGCTTTAAGAATTTCATTATTTGAAAGTATAAATGGTTCAAAATATTTATGCCTAGAGCTGGGAGCTCATCTTTTATCTTGATCTTTTGTTAATCTGCAGAATAATTTAATCCTGCACGGTAATCATACCGAGAAAAGGATTGAAGACCACAGTGGATATCGAGAGCAAGGGATCTGGATTATGAATATTCAACACAAAAGTTCCCAGCTCTGTTTACATTGTACAATAGAACTCAAGTGTCCGAAGAAAGCAAAAGCCTAGACAGAATCCGTAACTAAGTATTACTAGACTGTGTTTGTATGTTGTCCAGGAGAAACTGCAGTTTGGCCTTGTATGGAGATGTATGGAGATAAATACTATACAACCTACAGTAAGCAGAATCAGTAAACATTTCTCAGAAAATAAACCTTTTAATTATTCATAACTACTAGTCTTCGATTCTAACTTTTAATTGTTGTATTATCGGCGGCATTTTTTTTTAATGATTAAACAATAAAAAAAATCTTGCGGATTTGACAATTTCTTGTAAGGAAAATTTTTTTAAATTCTGACCATCCATTAACCTTCCCCGGGGTTATATGAGGTACCACAAAAATGTATGGGCTGGATGTTGGTTATTGATTTTGTTGTATGGATAATTAAGCCATTTTTTCATATCTTTCTTTAAATAAACAGTCAACAAATTGTCACTTTTGTCACTTTGTGTAACTTTTTGTAAAGCTATGATCGGCTACATTTTTTATTTAGACAATGCCACACGTGGTTGTTTGACAGATGGTGTGTGGGCTACTTTGACAAACTATACAACATGTGCTGAGCTCCCTGGACCCCCGGATACTGTGGATGTGGAGATATCTATAACAGTATATCTTGTTGGTAACATACATCATACCCTCCAATTTTAGTCTTTTTCAAAACTAACAAATAATTGTTTTTTTTTTTGTCATAGCACTCTCATTTTTCACACTATCACCGTAAAATTTTGTGACTTTTAATAAATAGAGATTTAAAGAATTTTTAGTAAAACTCTTTTTTTTTAATTCTTAGGGTAGGTTACATGGCGATTATATTTTTTTTACACAGACCAGACTTTTTAGTGTCCTTTCTGTACCCTACGCTATGCATTAAAAAATTGTTTACCAAAAATCCTTTAAATATCTATTTGATAAAAGTAAAAAAGTTTCATGGTGATAGTGTTAAAATAAGAAAGCTAGGGCAGAAAAAAGCCCCCCCCCCCGCCTGTTTAGCGTTAATAAGCATTTATATTATGTATTTACGTACAGAGCTGAAAACTTTAGAATGGTGGATATCGATATCATTGCTTGATCTCCTCTTTTTATTAATCTCAAGATTAAATATAGCTTGTACTCCTCTGTTTTTAATCTCCAGATTAATTAAGAAATCGAGATTAAGGATATCTCATTCTAAAGTTTTCAGCTCTGATTTAAGAAAACTATTAGATAACAAAACTATGCTTGATTTATAGAAATAAAAAAAAACAAAAAAAAAAACATGGTTTAAAGTATTTTTAGTGTAGTGATTTTAGTATAGTTTTTTTTTAACTTGGGACTCTATTCTTAATATTTTTATACTTGTCTCTTAACATATTTCTAAGCTCTAAGACCTTTTCAAAAACATTTTTTAATTCTAAATAATTTTCCTAATTATATTTTGTTTTTATTTAGGTTACTCTATATCCTTGATAGCCCTGTTCATCGCAGTTTGCATTTTCTTATTTCTACGGTAAAAATTTCAATTATTGTAAAATAAATTAAAGTGTATTAACTTAATAATTTCATATTTTTCGTTTAAAATGTAGTTTAAAAGAGTTTTGCAGTTTGTAATTGATCTAAGCAGTAAGCTCCAAACACAATTCAAAATTACAATATATTTACTGACATTTCTAAATCAAAAGTAATAACGACAATATTCCGCACATTTTACGGTCTCTTAGTTAACTTATTAAGTTTTAATGGATCCTGCCATTCGATCGTCATATAAACAGTGTTCTGTGTTGCCATTTATCATAAAATAAAATTAAGATAATATTTTGTTGAACAAAAAATTTCTTTTCTAAAAATAATTAGTGGCAAGAATGATCTTTTTAATGTTCACCATCGCCATTGTTTAGTTACCAGTAAAACTATTGCTATAAATTTCTATAAAAACCTTCTATCAAACTATTTAAACTATTTCAATTATTTACAATTTATAGAGCAGCTGGCAATCCTTTTTTGATAAAGAATTCAATAAGAAAGGTGCAAATTGATACTGGCAGTTACAGCATTTTTCTTTTTCAAATTAAATTGGATTAAATGGGATGTTTGACGTTAACTTCAGAAAAGAAGGGAATTAAATATTCAAGAATCAGAAAAGTTCTTAAATAGAAAATAATATGATATTCTAAAGCAGAGAAAAAAGTTTTATTTAAAAAACTTTTGTCAATGCAATTTTAATATCTGAAATAAGCTGGTTTGTCCTGGCAATCAATGATTTTAGCTAAGATCAATGGATTTAAAGGGACTGTATATGTGATCCTCCATTTAATAAGAGTGGCATTCCTGATTCACAATCTTATCATTTAAATCTTTATTTAGGCAACATGTTAACGAATATCGTTGTTTTCCCATTTTAAATAGTTAAATAGTGTTCAATTCTGTAAACTACGTTCTTTGTCTCTGCTGCATAAAATCCACAAGGCACTATTAAAGAGAAATCACGATTCGAAAAAAGAACAACAATTAGATAATTTGTCATTTTAAATTACGTCCTTCTTAGTTCCAACTTAATACAACAAAACTACTTTAATTAATCTTTGCACTTTACATTGTTTCTTTAGCTTGGAATCATTTCCTTTTATCAATTATTAAAACCATAATAAATAAAACAATATAAGATTATTTTACAACTATGACCTTCCTCATGTAGCGAATAAGGTTAAAAAACTGTTAAGTTTTATGTACTTCTCCAATGCGCCTCAAATGAAGGTTAATTGATATATCTCTAATATTCTACACTACACTCTACGTAGAAAAGAGAAAATAGTAACTAACTCAATTATACTTTATAGTACCCTTTGGCATGGACATTTTAGAACTTAAATTGTTAACCTAAATCACAAATTTCTAGGCTGCGGTAAAAATTTGCATCAATTTTCAAGATCAAGTTGACTTTAAAGCATAGTAACTAACTCGATTATACTTTACACCCTTAGGCATGGACATTTTAGAACTTAAATCATTTGCTTATAACATTAGTATTAAATAATTGTAAATGACGACATATTCGCATCGAATGTTGTCATTTAATAGAAACCTTAGGATCACTTTGATGTTATAATTTAGGGTTTGCCTAGATAATAAAATCCATCAAAGGAATTGAGTCTTTGCCACAAATTCATTTTTTGTAAAACCTATATCTTTGCAGCCTTGAGATGTAAACCTTTGATATTTCAAACTTACATTATTTGATCTAATATCATTCATAGTTTGAAATATTAAAGGTCTACGACATTGGGCTGCAACGATATTGAAATTAGAAAATCAGAGTTTGTTGCAAAAACTCAATTCCTTTGTTTGTTTAGTGAGATGAGATGTATGAGACACAAGATCCATATTGGACTCTTCCTAACTTATATATTCACAGATCTAGCCTGGATCATAACAAACCTACTTCAGGTAAACAGAGAATAAGAAAAATACCAGCCGTTTATCTTGAAAACTAATATGAACATTTATCTTAGTAACCGTACATGGTGTCCCATGAAACACTTTGCAGTAGGGGTATTGGATTATAAACACACAATATTTATTCCATTTTTACATTTAAGGTGTCATTGGAAAGCTCTTTTTTCAGTTATTTCAAAGTATTAAAAGAGAGCATTTGCAGCGAAACCTTGATTGTGAAACTAGAACAAAAACCGTTCCCTCAATACTCAATACCCCTTCTGCCAAGTTGTTTTTGGGACACCCTGTACATACAAAAAGATCTCCTTTAAATTGTATTAACTGTAAAGGATTTCTTTTGTTTTTAATGATATCTTATTTCTTAATTAAATCTAAAACTAGGTGAAGTTCCTAGCTTTGACAATGGTATTATATTCAAAACTTTCTAATGATAAGAGAAAACCACTTGTCTCTTAATAGTTAGGAACTGTAACCCGTAACTTTTAGTGACCTCCATGTAAAGATGGCAATGCCTGATTTACAACGGTACCCTTAAAAGTTTTGTCTGATCAAGTATAGATTAGATATCCATGTTTTGTCTATTGAAAATTGATCAGATTAAGATTTCAAGGGTATTGTTGTAACTCGGATATTGCCATCTTTGCATGAAGGGTAACGTGAAATTATGCCTACAATCTTTGTTGAGTTGTCACATCATTGTAAGTGTAGTGGTTTGGATGTCTTTAGATTAAATATACCATAGACATTCATATCTCTGTATTATTATTTAGACGTATAGTACATTATTCTGTCTATAAGGTAGATATTATGTGCAGTTAATTATTTATAATACTATTATTATAGTTGACAGTGCTTTAAAGTTTTTAAACAGAAACATTCTCTTTATTAGATTATATTTAGTCCCAAGCACATGACTCATGATACACTGGTTATTTCTATATGATATAAGCAGAGATAAAAAAAATCAAATTGATTTCAATTCAATTTTTATTTGAACTTAATTGAACGAATTAATCACAAAGTATCCTATTTTTTTGAGAAAATCTAGAAACCTTTTTTTTCATTTTATCATGATGAATTTATAGCATGTCTGCAATGAAATTTGCTATAAAATAATTTCAGAAAAAGTATTTTATGCATAATGTAGCGTCTGATCCAATCAGAGTTCAGTCACATGCTGAGTGACGATTCAGAACAAATGTAAATTGTAATTGCGGTCACATCCAAGGGGTGTATTCAGGAATTTGTCCAGGGTGGGGGTTACATTTTTTTTTCAGGGGGGGGCTTAGCCCCAATAGCCCCCCCCCCCTGAATACGCCTCTGGTCACATCTATCTATCTATTTGTCTCATCTTTCACTTTGAGATAAATACTGAAATCAGTGTTAAATATTAAAGAAAATGTGTGTACTTCTACTGAAACAAGAATGATTAATGGATTGCCGAATGGCGTATAAAATATTAAACAAAACAGTTTCCAATTTATATTTTAGAATCTGGTTGTTGAACAGGGAGATGATCAAACCTCGTTTATCCTGTGGTGCTTAGTAAGAAATCTCCTTAGGTTGGATCTTATTCAAAAATAAGTTTGATGCTGAGATTTAGAATTTAGTTAACTTACGAATAAATGATTGATTCTAATCTTTTGATGGAAAATTTAAAAACAAAAAAAAAAGATTTGAACCATATTTTGAAATGACCTGAATAAAGTAAAAAATTCTAGTTTTAAGTTGAAGAAAAGATAAGATTTAAAATTTGGAAATATTAATATTAATTGTCACTCATATGAATAGATTTTTTTGTTTTGTTTTTAATTCTGTATTTATTTTAGTTACTTCCACTTGACCACTTTCTTCTGGATGTTTCTGGAGGGTAGGTTTTTAGTAACAATCTTTTACCTTTCAATTCAAATTTGAAAAAGTAAAAATTTCAGCTAATTTTTTGGAGCACACATACAAAACTTATCACCACAAAGCATATCTTATCAGCGACAAAACTTATCATCACAAAACTTATAAAACATACAAAACTTATCTAAAAACAAAACTTATCAAAACAAAACATATTACCTACAAAACTTATCGAAATTCATGAATCTAAAATTTCAAATCATTGAAATGTTCAAAAAATTGTTTGAAAATCTGTGAATTTTAAAGAGAAAATTCGGTAAACTCAGAATTCTCAGTTTCCTGGCCCCTGTCCTCCGGGATGGAAGCTAACTTGGTTGTGAAGGAGGATAGCCTGGGAGTAGGCGTTCCTGGAAAACAGGATAAGAGCAAATCTAGATACAAGTGAAGGTCATAGTTGTGTGCAAGCACACATACAGCTGTTCAATTTTGCCAGCTTTTTTACAGATGGTTAATAATTTATACAAACAAATTCTGAGTCAATCCTGAGTTGTGCAACATTTAAAAATGTTAAAAAAATAAAATTTTGTAATTATTTTGATAAGTTTTGGGTTTGATAAGTTATGTAGGTTGATAAGTTTTGTTTAAATAAGTTTTGTTTTCATAAGTTTTGTTGTTAGATAAGTTTTGAAAAGATAAGTTCTGTTCTGATAAGTTCTGATAAGATAAGCTTTGTGGTGATAAGTTTAGAGACAATACGTTTTGTATGTTCTTAATTTTTGGGTGTTCTTTGTATGATTATAATAAATGGCTTGGTAAAGATTCAAAGTACAAAAAAAAACTGTAGCTTTTTGTCTTTTTTTTGATTTTTTTAAAACTTCAAACCTTGGTATTAAGAAAAAAGATAACTAAGTGTTATTTTGAAGACTTTGAAAATGAAAAAATTAAAGGACAATCCAAAAGTTTTAAAGCCAAAAAATTTGATTTTTTCAAAATTGGTTAGAAAATCCTGAAGCCAGGTTAATGAATGTTGCCTCAGATACGTTTGTTTTCATGAATTTCCTTATTCTTATAAGCAATAACTCCATAAAAGCAAGGTTTCATAAACGGTATTTTAAAATATTCAATGTTGTTTTACTTTGAAAATTATCTTTAAATAAATGAACATTTTGTTTCCATTTATTTTTCATCGTTTACAAAATGATTAAAGTTGTTTAAAAAACATGAAAACTGCTCATCCCTAATAACAAGAGGATAAATGGAGCTTTGAAAATAATATGGTTTATATATCTTTATCACTTAGCTAACATCTTTAACATGAAAAAAGTATTAAAAACTATTTTTTTTTTATAATACTTGACATTGTTTATAAAATTTTGCTAATTCTATTTGAACTTTTTATCCAGGAACAATTTACAAAAACCTATATCTATTTATAAAGCGATAATAGCTTTCCTTGCAGTGTATTTACATTCATAATATGTAAAATGATAATGGTAAAGTTTTCCAGGAATAAACTTTACTATTTAATATTCATGTTATTACGGTGTCTTATTGTGTCCTGTCATGCATTATTCATCCACTATTTCCACCTCTTTTTAAACTCATTTGTAATTGTCATCATGGACTAAAGGAACTGAGGTCTTGCCTCAAACATTGATTTTTAATCCCAGAATCTTTGCAATCCAATGTTGTAGACCTGTTATAATTCAAACAATGCATTTCTTAGATCAAATATTCTCAGTTTGAAATATCAAAGGCTTACACCATAAGGTTATGTAGGTGACAAGAACTCAGTTTCTTTAGGGAAAAAGTTGTAAAACTGTTGAGCAGTGATTTAACATTATGTTTGTTTTTAGGTTTGTATCTGTTTCTCCAGGTTCAGGTTCCCCTTAGCCTTGCTAACATCAAGCACAAGCATTTTCTATTGTTTGGCTGGGGTAAGTTGAAATTAATTTAACATAAATTAATATTTGATATTGATAACCTTTGGATTGATCAGGACTGTATGTTATCAAGCTTGATATTTTTTTGGACTATAAGTAATTAGAAAATAAACATTTTCATACCCATTGGCTTGTTGAATTTTGTCCCCCTTGTTTTATTCTTTATTATTATAGGATTTCCTGGTCTTGTTATAATACTATGGGGGTTGATGAGATATTACCTACCAGGGTTTCCACAACAAGATGAAGAAGTTCAAACATCAGGAAAAGAGGTGAAAAAACATATTTTCAGACAAACCTTATTTTATATCAAACAAAAACCTTCTAATAGCAAACTTTATAAACTTTATCAAGGCATTCAGTTTCAGAAATTAATATTTATTTAAACCCATTCATTTTTGACTTTTGATAAAAAAATGTTGTTTTCCAAAATTGTATTAGAGAAACTGCTTACAATAAGGAAACTGTATACCTAGGGTCACCAAGTATACAACTGTCCATTCTACCGTGAACACCCAGTAGATTTCTTGGCCTACAGTGTACCAGTATTCACTTTGCTCATCTGTAATACATTCTTCCTAGTCTGGATTATGGTGGTAAGTTTAGTATCACTACCGAGCATTTTGTTGATAGGACACAAATTGTGTTCTGTTCTCAGTGATTAAACTCATTTTAAACATGATCAAAGGTTTTTTTTATCAAAGTCATGATTAGGGTTGTTAATCGTTTTTAAAACAATAGTTTTACGTTTTGTTTTTATTTTTGTTCCTAAAAACGAACGTTTTTTTTTGAAAAAAACTGTTGTTTTTGAAAACGAACCACTCATTTTGAACTTTCAAGAAACGAAATCGTTCGTTTTTGAAAACATCGTTTTTTTCAAAAACGAAAAATGATCACTTTTGAAAAATATTTTTTTTTTACAATTGTTTTTTAAAAAAAACGATCGTTTAAAAAATGTCACTAATGAATCTGAGTTTTATGACAATATATTTCAATTTTTTTCAGAAAGATAAGGTTATGAACTTATGAATGTTGCCTGAAATTTTATTTTATCAAAACAAATAACCAGAATGTGTTCTGACCTCGGATTTTCCGACCAAAAACTGTATCATTTTTGAAAACAACAGTTTTAAAACCGATATATTTTTAAAAACTATGGTTTTTAAAAACAATTGTTTCGTTTTTCGCTTTTTCTTTGTTGTTTTCAAACAAGTGGAAACAATCCATCCTACACATGATCAAAAGTTGGTTTATGTATTTTCACAGGCTGATAGTTTATGAATAACAATCATGATCCCTTGTGTGTATTGTATGATTATAATTGTAAGCTTTGGACTCGATATATATTATATTTTTAGTAACACTTTTTATACTTTATCAAATAATGTTCTTTTGGTTTCTCAACAAGATTCTACCATCAGTTTATACACAATACACAAGACAAGATTTATCTAGTGTGTTTCTGGGTTCCTTTGTTTCTAATTAATGTCAAGATTATCTGAAGTTATCAAAGTTTTTCAGGATTTAAAAGTTTCCTCGAAAAAAAAAATTCTATTAAAAAAACAGGCAAAAAGTGAATTTGAAACTTAATTATATATGTTTTTTACAGTACTAAGGCTCTTAAAGGGACCGTTCACTTATTTGGATAATTTCATTGTAAACTAATTAGCCTATTATTTATTCATTGGTGTTAGTCTTACTTTTCAAAGATATCAATGACCGGAGAAAAAAGCGATTTATTGTTTAGAATTCTGGCGGAAAGGTATGATACCTTTGCATAGACACTATTTAAACGCTTTTTTTCAGTAACAACAGCCTAATAAAATATCATATTTTAATGACATCATGTGTCCCCCATTATAGAATAAAATATAAAAACTTTTTATTTAAGAACAAACCGGTTTCAAGATTGAAACTCTTCAATTAAATCACGGGGATTTCTGGGGAAGTTGAGACAAAGTTTTATGCTAAGGTATCATACCTTTGTGCTGTAATTCTCGCCTTTTTTCTGGCCGCAGTGGGCTTTTAAAAGTAAGACTTATACCAATGAATAGCTAATAGGCTATTTGGAATACCATTAAATTACCAAAATAAGTGAACGGTCCCTTAAAAAAAATATTTTCCCTTACAAATTTGTAATGGTTTTAAATTTTGTCGAATTTTTAAAATTTTAGGAGAAACCACTTCTTGGATTGTAATCCATTTTCACAAAGTTCTAAATAATTCTTTAGTATTTTTAAGTGATTTTTTTCTTGAAAATTTATTATAGAAAATTTTACAAATAAAAAACATGCATCAAATCATTTTAGAAAAACACTTTCTCTATTTTTCAAAAAATATTTTCCCCAGAATAACAAAATTTATTCTTTTAAAATCTTAAAAAAAATACTGTGAAAGTTCTGAAAAGTAAATTAACTTTTAATGCAAAAGGCTTCGATCTAACTTATTTAGGAAATATGAAAACTTAACATTAAAAGTCAACTAGATAAGAAAAGTGAAAATGATACGTTAAAACCAGAGAAGTAAGATGTTTCCTACAGAAAAATAATTAATGCGTTATAATAAAAGGTGGTTTAAAAATACATTAATGTCAGAATTTGTCAGTTTAAAAAAATGGTTTTAACTTAATTTGAAGACAATTAGAAAGGGTTTAATACTTCTATTCCTATCCTTCAATCTTGAGAGTTTAAGTTCTAATAATCTTTCAGCCTCGCTGTTTGACATCTTTCTCTACCTGGCCAGAATAACAAGTTTCTCAAGATCAAATAAGACCAGTTATCTCAAATTTTTAAGTTTTTTTCAACAAAATTACAACATTCCCAGAATGTCTATGAAAATGGCCATATATTCTGTGTCTTACACACTGCTAGAATATCCCTCACATTATGTTCAATATTAGAAACATTTTGTTCAAAATCAGGAACATTTTGTTCAAATTCAAGAACATTTTGCTCAACATTTCGAACATTTTATTCAATATTAGGAACATTTTGTTCAATATTAAAAACATTTTGTTCAATATTGGAAACATTTTGGTCAAAATTAGGAACATTTTGCTCAAAATTAGGTACATTTTGTTCAATATTATAAACATGTTGTTCAATATTACAAACATTTTGTTCAATACACAAACATTTTGTTCAATACACAAACATTTTGTTCAATATTAAAAACATTTTGTTCAAAATTAGGAAAATTTTGTTCAATATTATAAATATTTTTGTTCAATTTTACAAACATTTTTTTCAAAATTAGGAACATGTTCAATATTTCGAACATCTTGGTCAATATTTCGAACATCTTGTTAAATATTACAAACATTTTGTTCCTTATTACGAACATTATGTTCAATATTTCGGACATTTTGTTTAATATTAGGAACATTTTGTTCAATATTACAAACATTTTGTTCAATAATACGAATATTTTGTTCAATATTACTAACATTTTGTTAAATATTACGAACATTTTGTTCAATATTACAAACATTTTGTTTAAAATATAGGAACATTTGTTCAAAATTAGGAACATTTTGTTTCAAACATTTTGTTGAATATATGAACATATATTCATCATTTATATTTGTCTATATCAAAATTACATTAAACACTATATATATAATTGTCTATAAAAGTTTACAATTTAATACTAATACACTTTTCTGTGCATTTTCTATGTACCTTTCTTCAGATTGAACATGCAAGATTTCCAGATCATGTCAGATTTGTCAAGCATTGCCAGGCAGAGAAAATGTTTTATGACTGTTTCTGTATGTTCTCGTTTCAAAGGATACTTTTTCACTGAATGTTCTTTTAATTTTTTTGTGGCATCGATGCTTGAAAGCTTGGTTATCCCACTCAGGCATTTCTGCTTGACCGTAGTACTCTAATGTGGCTTGTTGAAACATTTTTTCTGCATTGTTTGCGAAGGAATTTTTGCGGAGCCAAAGCCTTGTGTTTGCTCACATTATAGTTGTTTTGTACAGGGTAGATATTGTAGTGATGTCTTGGGCAGGTTTTAAGTGTAAAGCAGCATTTGTTGCACAGGCCCAGGGTGGGAATCCAGTCCATTTAAAAAAAAAATTATCAGTAAACTGTTAATGTGTCTAGTTTCTTCAGATGAACATTGAGCAGAATTAGAATAGAAGGGATGCAAAAATGTTTTTAGGTCCAGACTTTATATTAATCCAGAATAAAAATTGCATTTATGTTGATGAGTTTTGTTTCAAATTCACTTTTGATGTAATCCAACGCATCCCTTAGTTTGCCAGTAGGAAATAGAAGTTTGCCAAAGAATTTCTGTTCTTTTTAGAATATTTTTGGAATTTTAGTTTGGCCAATAGTAAAGTTTATTCTGCTAGGCACTCCTGCTCTGATCGATGGAAAATGACATTTTGCTGGTTTTAACCTCATTCCCATACTTTCAATCTTGAATTTGATGTCATTCTGACTTTCTCCGGTTTTTAAATCTGTTGTTATCAGGCAAAAATCATCAGCATAGGGCAGAGTAATAATTTTCTCCCCATTCTCCACAATTATTCTCACTCTATAGAAATTCAAAGATTGGGTTAAAAACCATCAGAAATAGATGGGACTAAGCGGGTCACCTTGGAAAAACCCCCCTTACTAGGGAACAGGGAAACCCATTAGTAGAGAAGAAAATGCTGGAGAAAGTTGATTATTATGCAGGGTGTTGAATTCATTTTTAAATAGTTAAATAAAACAATCAATTTTATTCAGATAAATTAGTTGAATAATGTAACATTTCATATCTTTCAGTCAAGCCACTGTACTGCACTAGCTTATCAATTTCTGAGTTTTGTTTATTATTCAATTTGATGAGTAGGAAAAGTTCAAAGCAAAACTTCTTTCAAAAGTGTCTTAATTGTTATTACTTATTGCAGAACTACTTTTGCAAAACAACTTCTTTCCTCTTTGGACACAAATTCATTTAGCACATTTGCTAAATTTAGTATTAAAGACATAATTTTCACTTTTTTCAAAACCTTTGAATGAATCATTCTATGACAAATCGTAATCTATTGTTATTTTATGAGTGTCCACAAAAAATTCAGCCCCATCGGTCCAGCCGTTTGGCCGGCTACAGACAACATATATATATACAAATGTCTTATTTCGTTATAGATATATAAAGTATAGTAATCTTGTTCTGTTTGTCTGTTTTTATGTCTGATTATAACTGGAACCTCGGGACCGATTTGCCCAAATTTTTATTGATGAATTTGGTATAACCACAGGAATGTTTTAAGTCTGGTTTAAAGATTCTGAGTGGATTAACTTTTAAAAGGAAGGTTTAGATTTTCAAGGCTAAGCTGGGTTTCAAAGCTAGTTTTTTATATTAACCCTGAATAATGTAAATTAATTAATGACTTCAAAGTCGTCTTTTACCTTAGAAATAGTTTGCGGCATTTAATAAAGGTATCCTGACTAAAGCAATATTTTTTATGAAACAATAATCACAATCAGGCTATTTCCAATATGTTAATCTTTTAGATTGTTGTATCCAAACTAAGAGCACAGACAGTGATGGAATATGACAGAAAACATTGGAAAGCCGCCAAGGCGCTTATTGTCGTCATCCCTCTACTAGGTAAATACTAAATTATGTTATCACTAAAAACTTTAAAATCTGAATTTAAAGTCTGAACCGAGTTTTAGGCATCCATAGCAAGTTATACAGTTGTACCTTTGTAGTTTGTACAGCTAGTAATACAGTTGTACCTTTGTAGTTTGTACATCTAGTTATACAGTTGTACCTTTGTAGTTTGTACAGCTAGTTCTACAGTTGTACATTTGTAGTTTGTACAGCTAGTTCTACAGTCGTTTCTTTGTAGTTTGTACAGCTAGTTATTCAGCTAGTTGTATCTTTGTAGTTTGTACAGCTAGTTCTACAGTTGTACCTTTGTAGTTTTTACAGCTAGTCCTACAGTTAAACCTTTGTGGTTTGTACAGCTAGTTCTACAGTTGTTCCTTTGTAGTTTGTACAGCTAGTTTTACAGTTGTACCCTTGTAGTTTGTACAGCTAGTTATACAGTTGTACCCTTGTAGTTCGTACAGCTAGTTTTACAGTTGTACCCTTGTAGTTTGTACAGCAAGTTTTACAGTTGTACATTTGTAGTTTGTACAGCTAGTTCTATAGTCTACAGCTGTCATGCAGACGGTAAAACGAGACAGTATGAATCATCCTCTACTAGTGAGATTATACTGTTAACTAGAAATGAGCGCGTTTTTTCTTTTATTTCGTTCGTTCATTCTTCATGAACGGCACATTTCGTTCGCTTTTTTCATTTGTTCAGTAAAATTAATTTTTCGTCCACTTTTATTCGAAATATTGTTTGTTTATTTAAAAAACTATCGTTTTTCAAAAGTTAGCTCGAAAAATCGTTCGTTCAAAATCAGAAATAAAACATGGAACCTTTTTTATAAAACTCTATTTGATAATTTGTTCGTTCAGAAAAAAAACAATCGTTTTTTTCAAGTTCGTTCCAACGATTTCAAATCGATGCCCATCTCTACTGTATACATACTTACATGCAAGGATTTAATGCAAGGAAAGTTATTTTAGAAGTGTACGCATCTTTTATACTGCAGTGTACTGTCTCTGGGCGGTAATGTAAACACAAGACGGATTTCAAAGACTGACATGGGATCCATCTTTAACATAAAAAAATCAATGAAATATTCTGGTCATAGGAAACTATTAAGTGAATTATCAAAATTATCAAATTTAATGCTTTTAACCTCCTCGGATACTAAACAAACACTGATGCATCTATTCTTGTTTACAAATTCCGCCCAAAGAGAACTGGTTTCAATATGTACGCAGAGTATACACGACCGCAATTAACTTTCCTTGCATTACACCCTTGCTTACATGTAAATCTCAGTCATTTGACAAGCCAGACCGAATTGTATACATTGTCAATAATTCATGGGGCGAACATAGTGTGAGGTTTAGGCCGAACCGGTACGAATTTAGTAGAGCTTTCATAATCTCTGATATTCTGAGATAGCAGTTATTATTTTCTGCTACAACGAAAAAAATAAGCATAATTTGCGTTTAGCAAGCTACACAATACTTATGCTAAACATTTTATATATATAATCCTCATAAGACTTTAAAACTTATTTTGATGACTTTGAAATTAAAAAGAATTATTTTAATCATCATTGATGCATCTTTTTTTGTCAAAATTAGATTGAATTTTGAGATTCTTCCTTTTATCAAAATGATATCCTACAAGGTGAAACGGAAAAGGATATATTTTGATTATATCTGAGATGATTTGCTTTTTCCTTCTTCATAAATAATTTATCCTAATTTGTTGATAATCATTTAATGATTTTACCTTATCAGGAAAGCCTTAACAATATATAATACATCTGAGATAATTAAAAAAACCCTCTTATTTTTAAACATCTATATCTGTGCAACATGATGGTGTAAACCTTTAATATTCTAAACGGAGACTATTTCTTTCAAAGGATGAATAGTTCAAAATTAACATACACGGTTTAAGATTTAAGATTGCAAAAAAAGTGAGAAAATTAGAGTTTGTGTTGAGTGTTCACTTCCTTTACAAATAGAATTTATAATTGTGCTTAATATTTAGCAAATATAAAAATATTATTTCTGAAGATGAAATCAATGTAACCACTTTAGATTCTGTAATTCTGATGACAGATGCCAAAATTAATCATTATAATTAGTCTAATTAGCACAGATTTGCATTTGTGCATTTATGTCAACTTTTCAGATGCCTCTAGCACTCCTAAAGACCTGATTAATTGTCATAAACCCAAATTTTCTCACCTCATATTGTATACCATTCTTTGAATAAATCTTATTTGTTCATTTCAACGACAGAAGTGTAAAAAACTGATAGTGTAAAACAACTGACATTGTAAAACAACTGACAGTGTACAACAACTGACGTGTACAAAAACTGATAGTGTACAACAACTGACAGTGTACAACAACTGACAGTGTACAACAACTGACAGTGTACAACAACTGACAGTGTACAACAATTGACAGTATACAATGACAGACAGAATACGACAACAGACAATGTACAACGACAGACAGTGCACAACTACAGCACATTGACAGTGTACATACAACGACGGACAGTGTACAACGTCGGAAAGTGTACAACGACGGACAGTGTACAACGACGGACAGTGTACAACGACGGACAATGTACAACGACAGACAATGTACAACGACAGACAATGTACAACAAATGACAGTGTACAACAACTGACAGTGTACAATGACAGATAGTGTACAACCACTGACAATGTACAACAATGTCAAACTGTCTTTGATTTGAGGAACAGCAAACGGGAGTTGCAAACTTTTATTCAAATACAAAGGAACTGAGTTATTGCCACAACTCTGATTAATAATCCCTATATACTATATACAATATACTATATAATCCCTATATACTATATAATCCCTATACTATATAATCCCTATACTATATAATCCCTATACTATATAATCCCTATACTATATAATCCCTATACTACTATATAATCCCTATATACTATATAATCCCTATACTATATAATCCCTATACTATATAATCCCTATACTATATAATCCCTATACTATATAATCCCTATACTATATACTTTTGCAAATTGCAATCCATTGTTGTAGAACTTTGCCATTCAAAATTATGAATTATGTTAGATCAAAAAATCTAGGGATGAATTATTAAAGTATTAAATTATTATTATTATTAAATTATTAAAGATTAGAAATAAAGTCATTAACAGTTTACAAGGAAAAATCGAAACACATTTTTAACAATGTGTTAAAGTGTTCTGGACCAAATTCTGTTTTCTTCAAAACATCACATCTTTAAAGGAATTTAGTTTTTGCCACAAACTCAAAATTTTCAAAATTCAATATCGTTACAACCCAATGTCGTAGACCTTTAATATTTCAAACTATGAAGGATATTAGATCAAATAATGTTAGTTTGAAATATCAAACGTTTACGTCATAAGGTTACAAAGATATATGTTTCACAAAAACTGAATTTGTGGCAAAGATTCAATTCCTTTATAATGAATTACTTTTCGCTAAGAAAATCTGTAATAAACCAATCAGAACAAAATACTGCAATTTCCAACTTTTGAGATAATCTATATTTTGAAGGCGAGGACACTGTTTCCTTTTATTGACATCTAGAGTGCGTACAATGGATGATAGATTAATAAATTAATGGGGAGAAGAACAATTTACAAATGCATTATTCCAGACATGCATATTGCTACATTGTGATCAACTTAAGTATTATCAAAATACAACTTCCAATTAATTGTTCACATTGTTTGTAACAATTCGAATTTGCTGCATCACTGAGCAGGATATTTCATCCCTTACTTTGAATATTTTTGTCATAGTGAAGGTTTTCATAAATTACACTGTAATATCAATTATATATGTATAATTTCTTCAAAATTGTTATTTAATTATCTATTTCAAAAAATTTCTTTTTTTACGTTTGATATTTTGTCCTTTCTTCCCAAAAAAATGTGAATAAAACATGGCTATTTATTTTACTGCTGCGCCGCGACCGCGCGGTGTTGAATCTAGAGATGGGCCTTTTAGATTTTTTCATTTCGTTCGTTTATCGTTTGTGAACGACCAATTTAGGTAATCTTTTCCAATTGTGTAAAAAATTGATTTTGTTCGTTCTCAAAATAACCGTTCATTTTCCATTTATTTCGTTCTTTTTCTCACAAAATGATTGTTCAGTAAAACTGTTCGTTCAGTATAATCTTTCGTTCAGAAAAAAATCATTCATGTTTTCGAAACTTTGTCCGAAAACAAAATCGCTCCTTTAAAAAAACTATTGGGGTTTTCCAAATCCTGTTCCTTCAGTAAAAATCTTTTAGAAAATTTGTTCGTTCAGTAAAAAATAGTTTATTTCTAGTTCTTTTGAATATTTTGAATGGTTTGTTTTCAAAAAACGATAATGTTGTCATTTTTCTGAACGATCCATTTTCTTCGTCCATCGTTATTTTTTTCTGAACGACATCTTTTTTTCACAAAAAGATTTCGTTCCTTCAAAAAACTATGCCCGGAGTTGAAATCTATGGAACCGGTTTGCCTGAGCGAAGGTCATCTTTGTATAAAATGTGTTAAATGTTTGGATAAGAAAACGTTAATTTCTTGTTAACTCTAATATCAAAATTTTTGATATTATTGTAAGTAATGGCTAACACATTATGTCACTGAAATATGATAATTTTAGATTTTCTTGGGCTGTTACTAAAACAACGTTTAGATAGTGTCATACGAAGATATTCTGAAGGGAAAACTTTAGAATTTGATATTATTTATCCTGATAGCTTAATCTGAATATCCAATGTGGGCACTTTCAATTTCCTTCTTAAACCGTTTTCTTTCTTTTCCTTTCCCTGCCAGTGAGAGTTCACTTATTAAATGCCGCGCAAAATTTATCTTTGAAAAGTAAGACTAATACCAATGAATAGCTCTAACGCTATTTAGTTTACCCTTAAACTGACCTAGCTGTTAACCCTAATATATTGTAGTGTATACACCAACTGTTTAGGAGTGACCTACCTGTTAACCTTAATATACTGTAGTGTATATACCAACTGTTTAGGAGTGACCTACCTGTTAACCCTAATATATTGTACTGTATACACCAACTGTTTAGGAGTGACCTACCTGTTAACCTTAATATACTGTAGTGTATATACCAACTGTTTAGGAGTGACCTACCTGTTAACCCTAATATATTGTACTGTATACACCAACTGTTCAGGAGTGACCTACCTGTTAACCCTAATATATTGTACTGTATACACCAACTGTTTAGGAGTGACCTACCTGTTAACCCTAATATACTGTAGTGTATACACCAACTGTTTAGGAGTGACCTACCTTTTAACCCTAATATACTGTAGTGTATATACCAACTATTTAGGAGTGACCTACCTTTTAACCCTAATATATTGTACTGTATACACCAATTGTTTAGGAGTGACCTACCTGTTAACCCTAATGGGCCCTGACATGGAACACTACCCAACTGGATATTTGATCTTTCAGTTCATACGAGCAGTTTTCCTTTCTACACAGGTTAATTAGCCATTGAAACACTGTTTTTTCCTTTTAATCCAGTTTTTTTTTAAAAGTAGCTTGGGAACCCGGCCTTGCCTAGAAACAAAGTTTTCTTTAAAAGATTCAACCTATTTCACTAAGAACTTATAGGCCTGGATAAGATCATTTTTGTGGTTTCAAAACAAAATTTGAAGCAAATCGGTTCTGGGATTCATGAGTTATAATCGAACATTTATAAATATTTTACAAACAAACAAACAGAGATACTACTTCATAATAAAAATAATAAGATATTAAAGAATACTTCCATATTTGCTAACTTTTTTTATTAAATTTCATGATACAATCTTTTAATTTTAATCAAAAATTCTTTTTACACTGCCCTCTACAGCAGAATATGATATGATTAAATGGCACAAAATTAACATTAAACAAACTGTATTTCGAATGAATATACTTTTTTTAGAGCAGTAAAACATAATTTCATTCATTATTCATTTTTATACATACATGAATACATAAAATATAAAGTTCAAAGAGTAACATTTCTATTAAAGGGAGTGTTCGCGAAAAACTAGGGTTGACCAATGAGCGCAACACAAAGAAATCTATAATGCATATTCTTAGCGAAAAAAAAGTTAAAAGTTTAAACACAGCTTAGACTTTAGGATAAGAAATTAGATTTTTTTAAAAATAGATTCGACGCCGTCAACATTTTTGTAAAACTCTTTACCTTATCTTAATTTTTCTTTGGCTTCAATCGTAAAAAATACACATTTATGATTTATGTGTTTGGTCTTCAACCACTGTAAACACACATTTTCAAAGCCAACAAATATAATATCTAACAATAGTGAAACCCTTCTAGCGGTTGAGAGGAAAAATATTAATCTTTAGATTATGATTCAGGATGTTGAATGAATTTTTAATTAGAGAACAAAAAAAGTCCCATTTCTTATTCTGAATTATGTCGTGGAGTCTTGATTAGACCATTGAGTTTTTTTCCTCCCAAGAATATAATGATTGCAAAGAAATTCACTAAAGGTTGAATATTCAGGGATTTGTGATTACCCTCCCCTACTGCTTCTTAAACAGTGAGGTGAGAGGCGTGCTGATGACAAGATGGAACCGTTGGCAACTAATCAGGAATATACAATTTATCTAGTTAACGACAAACTAAATACAATTTATATAGTTCACGACAAACTAGATACAATTTATCTAGTTCACGACAAACTAAATACAATTTATATAGTTCACGACAAACTAAATACAATTTAGCTAGTTCACGATAAACTAAATACAATGTATCTAGTTCACGACAAGCTAAATACAATTTATCTAGTTCACGACAAACTAATTACAATTTATCTAGTTCACGACAAACTAAATACAATTTATCTAGTTCACGACAAACTAAATATAATTTATATAGTTCACGACAAACTAAATACAATTTATCTAGTTCACGACAAACTAAATACAATTTATCTAGTTCACGACAAACTAAATACAATTTATCTAGTTCACGACAAACTAAATATAATTTATATAGTTCACGACAAACTAAATACAATTTATCTAGTTCACGACAAATTAAATACAATTTATCTAGTTCACGACAAACTAAATACAATTTATCTAGTTCACGACCAACTAAATACAATTTATCTAGTTCACAACAAACTAAATACAATTGATCTGGTTCACGACAAACTAAATACAATTTATCTAGTTCACGACAAACTCAATGCAATTTATCTAGTATACGACAAACTAAATACAATTTCTCTAGTTCACAACAAACTAAATACAATTTATCTAGTTCACGTCAAACTAAATACAATTTATCTAGTTCTCGACAAACTAAATACAATTTATCTAGTTCACGACAAACTAAATACAATTTATCTAGTTCACGACAAACTAAATACAATTTATCTAGTTCACGACAACTAAATACAATTTATCTAATTCACAACAAACTAAATAGAATTTATCTAGTTCACAACAAATTAAATACAATTTATCTAGTTCACGACAAACTAAATACAATTTATCTAGTTTACGACAAATTAAATACAATTTATCTAGTTCACGACAGACTAAAGTTTATAGCACATATGATATGCTTTTAATCAGAACTTCTCTTATTAAAGGGCTTTTCAGAAGAGCAGAAATGTTTTGAATTTCTAATGCAGAGTGTTTTACGAAACATGACGGAATTTAATGTCTTCTTCAATTTACTGTGTTGGGTATTAAAGACTTTTTACAGATTATTTCGTTAAAAAATCGTTTACTTATATTTTTTTCTTCTTTCTTTATGGTATTAGTCAACTTAAGAAATAAGGAAGAAGACATTTATAACTATTCACAAAATGTGATGTTTCGTGAGACACCCTGTACATTAACAAGGATATAACTAATCATAAAATAGACAAGCACAACTTTACAATATTTAAAAGGACTGTAAAAGTAATTTCAAGTGAACCTCCAGTAACTGATTCACAAAAGCACTCTTGAAACCTTTATCTGATCAATAAAGGGGAAGATAATGGTATATTTCTAGGTTAGAAAATATTCAATTTTGGTAATATCCTTCCCTGCAGTAGAAATGCGATATTTAAATATTGGAGGGTCACTCGAAATTGCGCTTAATTATAAGCTAGTTCTTTTAAGCGAATTTTACAAAACTCATTTAACTCATTTACACATTGTAAACATGGAACAATGTGTACATAAACTAAACACATGGTTTTATGCGTAAATGTTAAGAATTTTCTTTAGAATTTGACTTTTGGTATTTCCAACTATGATATATGTTAGATCAACTTGTTTAATTTTGAAATATCAAAAGTTTATGCCATCTGGTTGCAAAGATAGGGATTAAAATATTTCAAGGTCCTTCGTGTAAAGTGTTTTTTTTCCGGTGAATATCCTAGTTTCCTAGAACTGTGGAAAAGCCTCTGTGAAATCAAGCTATCACTATATATCGGTGTAGGCCTGCCTATTTCTGAAACCATTAACAAAATTGATACATTAATCAGTTTTTAATTAATGTTGATATTCGTCAAAAATAAAACAAAGCAATCAAGTCTGATTTTCTAAACCATATACCTTTACAAAATAATGTTGTAGACCTAAGATATTTCAATAAAAGTTTGAAAAATCAAAGGTTTAAACCATCAGAGGGCGAAGATATAGGTGTTTTAAAATTTGAGTTTGTGACAAAGACTCTACTTTCGATGCCCCTTATTATAGTGACGACTAGAATAAATGTATATATGAGTCCAGGAGTGTGGGAGTAGACTCTATGAGAACCTCAATGGCCTGCTCGACTTACTTTAGCCAGGTGGAGAACAAGAATATAGAGAGGGGCAGAGGGAAGCTTCTAGAAGTTCCACTCCATCACCAAGGTACACATTATTTCAACTCGCCTTATTCTGTCGCATAAATTGCGTTGGGTTAACTACATCATACAGGATAAATTAGACTGGTCCTCGATATATGCGTACACTCCAGGAGATATTCTCTCTATCCTTGATATATGCGTACACTCCAGAGATATTCTCTCTATCCTCGATATATACGTTGCACTCCAGAGATATTCTCTCTATCCTTGATATAGCGTACACTCCAGAGATATTCTCTCTATCCTCGATATAGCGTACACTCCAGAGATATTCTCTCTGTCCTCGATATATGCGTACACTCCAGAGATATACTCTCTGTCCTCGATATATGCGTACACTCCAGACATACTATCTATCCTTGATATATGCGTAAGCTCCAGAGATATTCTCTCTTTCCTCGAAATTGCGTACACTACAGAGATATTCTCTCTATCCTCGATATAGCGTACACTCCAGAGATATACTCTCTATCATTGATATATGCGTACACTTCAGAGATATTCTCTCTATCCTTGATATATACGTACACTCCAGAGATATACTCTCTGCTCTCAATATAGTGTACACTCCAGAGATATACTCTATGTCCCTGTCAGTAAACTCTAGTGCATCATGTGTACTTCAATTCGACCTTAGATCTTCCCACATTGGTTTAAACTACGTTGTTGCAGGACTAACCAGTACTTCAACATCACGGATGCAATCTTTCACGGAGATAAATACCATTGGAGGAGATGCCCTTTAATCCAAACCAAACCAAACCATGTTTACTTGATCATACATACTTTATATAAGATAGAGCTCAAGCATAAACTAAATTTGAGGAATGCAAAAGGTTTCATAGGTTAAAAACATGTATGATTATTTTTAAAGGGACTGTACACATAATTGCTGAGGACCTTCTATTTATAGAGTATAATGTCCAATTCATAATAGAAGATTTATCAGATCAAGAATGAATGAGATATTCATGTTTTTAATTTTTAAATGAAAGGTCATTTGAAATTATAACTCGACAGTCCCTTATTACTTAGGGCCAATATGGCAATATAATAATTTGAAGATAGATAGATAGAAATTCGGGCTGGTACAATAAAATCTTCTCAAGCTTAAGCTTAATAGTGTTTGAGTGTGGATTAACATGGCGGATCCAATAGTAAAAGTTAAAAAAAAAATCATAATGTTTGGGACAAAGAATAAGAAGGTAATAAGGTAAGCTTGGGTCATATAAAATTCTATTGATTTCACATTTCTCGATAGAGCGTTTTTAAATTTAACATTCTTAACATATGCTCATGGACCATGAGCGCTTTGTTAAATAGTGTAAACGGAAATGTAAATAATAAAAGGTCTTTCTCTTCTTTGTGTCTAGTTATTTAGAATATGTCAATGTGTACCAAAGAATTATATGTATAGTACGTAATTTAACATACGTAACTGTTGTAATCAAGTCTTTACCAATTTTCTAAACAAATATAAATGTTTTAAAAATAGATAATGAGAATATAAACCATTTTTTAACAATTTTTTTCCCTACAGGCCAGTTAACTTAATTAACACAATAACGGAATTATGTTTGAGCCACAAACTCTGATTTGTTAGGCCCTATATCTCTGCAATAAATTATGGTTGACCTGAGATATTCTAACTATAAACATCTGTTAAATCAAATAATGTAAGTTTTAAATTTAAAAGAATTACACCATTAGGTTGGAAAGATATAGGGATTAGAAAACTTGGGTTTGTGGTATAAAGGCTCAATTCCTTTAGGGATAATATAATTAATATTTAAAATATGTTGTACAAAGTATTCGTTAAACCTCATTGTATGCTGATTTATGATTAAAAACCAGTTAGGGTCAAATAACACCAGCCGAAAACTACTTTTTGGTAAGTTTTCTGGCTCTACCTCATCTATTTTTCCAAATGCTTTAATTATTCAAAATTCTAATGATATGTATTGTATATGATATATGATAAATGAAAAAAGTGTAAACCCACCATTTTGTGATGTTGGGTACTTTCAGTGAGGCTTTTTTACAAAAGAGAAGTTCCCTAGCGTGTTTTCCCAAGTGGCAACTTCCCAAATGTGCAATTTCCTAACAGTATTTTCTTGCTGCAGGGTTCGACCCTTGAACCTGTTAAAGCCCCTGGACCACCCTTGCAGCAGCAATCAGCCCCCCCCCCCCCATTGCAGCATGGGATGCCTAAGAAGGCCTAACCTAACCTTTGGGAATTTGCCGCTTGGGAAATTGGATATTTGGGAAATTGCAGCATGTGAAATTGTCACTGGGAAAATCGCCTTTGTGAAAATACCTAAACAAGTGGGTACCCCACCCCTCACTATAGTTTCAGTAGAAGTAGACATTTCCATTTACTGTTGGCGCCGATTAAAGGATTCATATCTTTAATTGGATGATGAGATAGCTAGAAAGATAGATGTTACCGCCATACTATTTCTATTGGTTCAGAATAGACAACAAACACATGACTGAACCCTGATGGAATCGGCATACATGTGTGCCCTAAATCTGATTACCCCTAAATTGACTATAGTTTAACTCGCTAAATGTAAAGATGATGTATGAGTGTTTGCAAAGTTTTATAAACCTCTTCTACCCACTTTACAAAGTAAATATACTTACTTGGAAAACTATAGCTTTGCTACGGTGAAGGAAGATAAATTGTTAACTTGAATATTTTTCTTTTAAAGGGACTGTAAGCTTAATTTCAAGTAACCCTTTATGGAAAGATTGCAATGCCGATTTACAACGGTATTCTTAAAATCTATGTCTGATCAAGATTAGATTTCAATTCGTTTATAATTGAAGAAACTGATTTTTTTAAATGTTCAAAAGTGATTCGCAAATTTAAACTACAGGAAATCATATAAAAATGATCAAAACTTAACACTTTTGAATCAATAAAAACAACAATAGCTTCCACATTATTGATTAGATACAGATTTCAAGGGAACCGTTGTCATTTCGGCATTGTCATCTTTGCATGGAAAGTCACATGAAATTACGCTTACCCCTTGTTACCTTTACTTTTAATCAATGTCCTTTAAGACTTTATCTGATTAATGATGTCGTTTTCATTCTTATATAATTAGTCATCATTGTATTTTTGTATAAAAATATATAAAAGCTGATGAAAATTTTTTTCCCTCAAACTCGGATTTTTTATCCCTATATCTTTGCAACTCGATGTCGTAGATCTTTCATATTTCAAGCTTTAAGTTCTGTTAGATCATGATAGTCTGAAATATATACACCATCAGGTTGGAAATATATAAGTCTTAGAAAATTAAAGTTTGTGGCAAAAATATATTTCCATTTTAAACGGAAAAACAAAAATATCTCCAAAAAATTTTCTCCGATAAAAGTTAAAAAGCTTATGTAATTTGAGATGTAATGTATAAAAGGAGCACTGTAATAATGTATGGAGTACCTTTGTGATTTAGAACATATATTTATTTATCAAACATGTTGAGCATTTATTAATTATATGAATATTAGACAAATTAGTTTTATTATTTTTCTATAAATAGAAGATTGTTGTTAAAACCACACATAAAAATTATATTTATTGAATTTTAAGCATTTAGACGTATATATTAGATTATATATAAGTTGTCCAAGAATCCGAAGAAAATTAAGTTATATTTTGAATTAACACAGGATTACACACTAAGGATGAGACTGTAAAGACGACCCAAAACTCTAAACATATAACGATTTAAAGCTTGATTTTAGGTTTCTGCAGGCAAATGAGTATAATGATGATTTACTAAATTGTTAAGCACAGAAACAAACCATATTTTACCTACAAGGAACCCTAAATACAAGGAAACGGACTAAACAACTTCCGAACAGTCGTCTCTGAAGTATAATCCTTTTTGCAAGGTAACCCTGTATTTAATGGTGTAAAAAGGAAAGATGAATTTATATTCTTCAAGAAAAGTATCTAGTAAAATATTTTTGCTGCTTTTTTCAAGAATTCAAGATTTCTGATTTCTTAAAACTATGTTAACAATATTCCTTTGGAAACATTAACTTTACCCCTTTGGAAACATTAAATACCCCTTTGGAAAAATGTTTGTGGTAAGGTTGTAAAATGATAAATTTAGTTTTATAGTTGTTAATGAATAATGATACATTAAATATTAACTGTAATAAATGTAATATGTATTCTTTATAAATGAAATATATTTAATCTTTATGTTATTGTCCTAAAGTCTTACACGCAGATTACATTTACATAGATTACCTATTTTTCAAAAAGTTTAGACAAAGAAACAGTTTTTGACACAAATTCAAATTTTATAATCCGCATATCTTTGCAACCTGATGGTGTAATATTTCCACAGAATCATTGTCGGAAAAATGAAAATAATAATAAGAAAATATCAGGTTGCAAAGAAAAAGGGATTAAAAACTTAGGGTTTGTGGAAAAAACTCATTTTCTTTTCCGGAATTTAAGTCTTAAAAGATTTGAATAAGTTTTAAATTTTATTAATATGAGTCTACAGTTTAAACTTTATTATCAATTTATAAATACAAAATTATTTAGAGTGTAGTAAACTGCTTACTATAGAGTTGAAAGGACTTAAAAGTGTCGCAACTCTTAGGCCATTCAAACTTACTCTTCGTAGCCTTAGACATGAACAGCTTAAAGCCATACAATGCACTAATTTCTTGCTTAGGTTTATTAGTTTATTCTCCACACCAAGAAAAAACTTATTTTTTAAAATTTGATCTGCACCTGAAAACATCATTTCAATTTTCTAAAATAAACTCTCATATTGATGTTTTATCATCAAATGGAAAAAAAACGCTGGGCAGACACGACAAAAATTTCATGTTAGACTCTAAAAAGAATTTATGATAACCTTTAAAAATGCAATTTATCACAGATCTTTATTAAAGTCCTTTCTTACTCTTTACTCTCTACTGCAGTGATTTCTTATAGGACTGCCTGTCAAATACAAATTTTGAGACTTCTTACAGGACTGCCTGTCTAGCGCAATAATGATGTCAGGATGATAGAATGACAGGATATTTATAACTAAACAAACAGGAAACAAATATTAAAGGGAGTGTAAGCGTATTTTAAGTGACCTTCCTTGCGAATATGCAATGCCCGATTCACATGTGTATCCTTGAAACCTTCATATGATCTTATAAAGTGGAAGATATTGCCGTTTTAATCGTTTTCATAAATGTTCAATTTTAATAATTCCTGTATTATTTTCTGACTTGTCACTTTTGTCATAATTGAAAATAATCATATTTTTAAAACCATATTCATTGATACCTAATTCCGTTTTGATCAGACAAATCTTTTCAGGGTTCCGTTGTGAATCTTGTACTGCATTTGTTTAATGGAAGGTCACTTGAAATTACGCTTACAGTCCCTTTAAAGGGATATCCTCATTTCTAAATACTAAAATTAACCCAGTTTTTATCATATAACGACCTGGATACCACAGATTAAAAACTTATTTTTTTCAGAAACGCAGGCATTCTCATTTAAAAAAAAAACACGTATGTTAAAATCAAAATGCATTAAAATGGAATGGAATGGAATGGAGTGGATGCTTTTTATAAATTACTCTAATTTATACAATGAATGATAAATGATAAAGTGTTGGTTTGAAGTTGGTTTGAAGTATTTCTGAAACAGGTTCAAAAATTAAGATATTTAAAGTTAGTGAACGATCCCTTGAAATGATAAATATCTGTCTCATGAAGCCACCTTCATGCAAGAAACTTTGCAAGTGTCAAAGAAAACAACAAGAAGTCAAAATACATCTAGAGTTGCATATATTTCTTTATGAATAGCTCTTAACGTTAGTCTCTTTTATGTTTATTTCAAATAATATTTTTTTTTTCATGCGTCTTTAAAACCTTAAATTGTGTGGTCTGAAATTTGAAAATTTTCCTTATGAAATATATAATCAAACATTCTTGATATATGGTACAGCTTAAACTGCTTAAACTATAAAAAATTGCTTTTTCAAAATTATTTTCTCATGTTTTCGTTAATAATTCTTAACAATATTATTGAAAATGTCACTAAGACAATTTCCAAGAATTGAAATTGGCTTTTTAAAATTTAATATGGATATCCGCATTTTGTGTATCCAGGGACGCAACTAGCACTTTCTTTGGGTGAGAGGCGAAATTTTTTTTCAAGTGTTGGGGGGGGGGGGTAACGAGGGGCTAGCCCCCCGAGTAGAAAATATTTTCAAAATGAAAGTCTTGTTTTACAGCTTTGAAGGCGATAAAAAGTATCCTATGGTTAGATATTTCTGTGGAATAAAGAAAATAAAAATATAGTAGATTTAGGAAATTGCCTTACAATCAAGTTAAAAAAGCTTTAAAGGAACTAACTCTTTCCTAGAAAATTAAATAACAACTTGATGGTGTTAACTTAAATTATTTGATGTAACATTTAATAAATTTGAGCCGCGTTTTAAATCCGCCAA